AGTCATCTGAGTGCAGCAGCAAAGGCCAGGCCACCAGGGTCCTAAGTCCATCTACACAGCTACCTGGCTAAACACCTCCCAGCCCAGCTCTCACAGGACACCAGCTTGCCCAGGACGCTGCCAGGATGAGGACAGAGGTCCAGCCCAGGAACTTCCCACGGTACCAGCACCCAGTGGGACCCTGTGGGCAGCACTTAGCTATGCCCGGGTCTAAGAGCCCGCTGTCGACACAGCAGCCACCTGGACCCTCGCCAACCTGGACAGCCCTCCATCCCCTCTGCACTGGCTCACCGCTCCCTCGGCCATGCAGGCCGACCTGTTCCCTGTCTTATACCCCACACTGTCTCCCCTCATGCCCTCCGGAATCATCAACGTAGTGGGACCAGAGAAAGAAATCACCAGAATAAACGGGCCTGGTCAGGAAGCTCAAGAAGACTGACTGTGATGCCGGCTTCCTGACGGGCCAAGGGAAAGGAGAACTAGACATGACACCAGCTTCCTGGCTTCCCAATAGGAGCTCCTTCCAGGACACTAATGGGAACCCCACTCCTTTAATTCACAAACCACAGGCTCTTTCTGGCCAGGCCTCTGGCAAGACTACAGCTCAACTGGTAATTCAGTCCTGGGCCAGAAGCACCAGGCATGAAGCTTCCTCAAGCCTGTCCCTCCAGTGGTCAGCCCAGCACCATCTCTGACCGCAGCCAGCCTCCAACAGAACCGGGCACGCCCTCCAAAGGACACAAAGCCAGGACCCGCAAAGCCAGAATTCCTGTGCACAGCCAACAGGTCCTCTCTGCTTCAAGGGAACATGTCATTAAATCACCCAAGTTAAATATTCCCCCCACTGCTCCCCCAGAGCAAACCTCACACAGCCTGTCCTTGCGCTAGACTACACTGTCCCACGGATCCTGGGCACCAGGAAGCTCTGGGGAGACCCTGGAGAGACAGGGGTCCCTCCCTGCCTAGGCTTGGCCCACAGGGAGAGCTGAACAGAACACCTGGGGAGCTCCAGGAGCTGCCCCCCCACCCCAGCTAAGTCACCCATCCCCACCAGTTGGCAGACTGCCTAGCGGGGCCCAGGGAGTGTGTGTCCCCTCTCACATCTTTGCTGACTGCCACCAAGGCTGCCAACATGTGGGCCTGTCTGGAGAGCATCCCGGTCCCCGAGGCAGCACCCTTTCACACGGGGCCCCAGAAGTGCATGGAGCTGGGATCTGGCTTCAAACACTGGGGCAGCAGCCACCAGCTGGGTTCAGCCATGTTGATTCATAAGGCCAGCTGCCCTCAGAGCACCAGGGCAAAGTCCGGAGAGAGGTCCCACGACCCACCCTCAGGGCTCAGAGGCGTGGGGATGTGGTGAGAACCAAGAGGGCTTCCTGGGGAAGTGGAGGTGAACTGGTAGCACCACCAACTGTAAGTTACAACAGAGAGGGTCAGGAGGAACACGGGCTGCACACACACAGCACACACGGGCACAGCTCACAGCACACGCACTCGGCGTGCACACAGGCACAAATACACACGTGCACAGCACATGCACGATGTACACGCAGTGTGCACGCAGGCACAGACTTGCATGTACACACGGTGCAAGAACAGGCATACATGATGCACAGCACATGCACGGTGCACACACAGATACACATGCACAGCACACAAAGCACGTATGCACCACAGACACATTCACGTGCACACATGCATGTATACACACCCTGCATATACACGCTCATGCATGGTGTGCACACAGGCTCACACAGGGACACATATACATACATGCACAGCACACACAGCATGTACACACACTGTACACACACACACACACGCCAGCATCAAGGAGAGAATGGTCTCCAGGCCCCCAAGAGATGAGGCCTACGTGGTCCTTGGGGACCCCTTGACATAGAGGGCAGGGGCTCACGGGAGGGGTGGCCAAGCGAGCTCCTCCCTGGGTGCAGGGAGGTCTGCAGGAGTTAAATGAGAATTGATGACTTTCCACTGTCAGATGCAGGAACTGACTGAGCACAGTATTGACACATGCTTTGTCACAGATCTTGAGTCATCACCTCTGCACAGTTCATTGAGAATGGCCCCCAGGGCCTCCCCTACGGCGGGGGAGGCCACCGTAAGCCACAGTTAAGGTTTCTGGGTAACCTGGACACCTCCTATCCCATAGAACTCCTGCCTGAGGGTGGACAACTGCCCTGGAGGGTGGGGTAGTCAGAGGAGAGGTCTCCAGGGGTACCTGGAGGACACCTTAGTCTCAAAACAAGACCGTGGGAAGCTGGGGATGGGGGGAAACGGGGCGGGGCGGAGGATGGGCCTTGAGCTTTGCAGCCCAGAAGTGAATGGGAGGTTGGGCTGGGGCTCTGAGGGGAGGGACACCACTACCACCTACCACTGCTCCAAAGGGGCCCAGGAGACCAGGCAGGGCCCTGAGGGGGTTTCTGATGGCCAGCACTGGAGTAAGCGTTTTCTACCCTGACAAGAGCCCCAGGGGTCTGTCCACCCCTTCAGTCTTAGCACAGGGTCCAGAGGCCATGGCCCTCTGTTACATGCAGCCCCTGAGGGAAGGCCTAGGGCTGCATGAAAAAGAGAAGTTCTGGGTTCATAAGCAGCAAGCAAGCTCTGACACCAGAAAGGCCAACGGTTCGAGACCACCTGGAGAAGCGCCTTGGAATAAAGACTTGGCTACCTGCTCTCCCAAATCAGCCACCAAGACCCTGTTGACCACAGCTTGCCTGATCCACGCTGGACAGCCGAAAGGAGGTCAGCAACGCCATGACAACAGGTCACTGTCCCAATGCCACGTGGACTGCAGGGAGGACCACTCGCCCACCACAGCCTCTCAACAGGGTGTGCTCTAGAGGAAGTCACACCAGAGTTCCATTCTGAGCTGCGGGTGAAGGCAGCCCACTCCAGGCTCCACATCGTGCACCCGGGCCCTTCAGGGGAGCAGCTGAGGTCTCTCAGGACACCGGGGGGGGGGGGGCAGGCATTTCCAAGTGAGCAGAGGGGACCCCAGCTAGGCACCTCTTCCCCAGCACCATAAGGTCCCATTTTCTCCTCTGAGGGTCCGTCCCTCCCTCAGCACAGCACCTCAGTATCCTGGAGAGCACCCTAGGCTTGCGAGAACACCACCACCAAGGAATCCACTGATACTTCCAAACTGAGCAGAGCCAGCCATGGGCTGAACCACACCTGCTCTGGGGGTGAGCCAGGAGCTGCAGGGGCTCAGAGGCTCGGCCAGTGGGAGACCCAACACTGAGAGGCCCAGGAAGCCAGGCAGTAAGACCACCATGCTCAAAGCTGTGCACAGAGAGTGGCCACTGAGGGTCCAGGGCCCAGTCCATAAGGACCGCATCTCCCCCGTGATGCCGGAGGGGCTGTCTGCACTGAGTCTAGCCAGCACCAACCACAGGCCGGGCGGTACCTCCAGGGCCAACTCCAGGCCAAGAGCCAGCACCTCCTCTCCTGTCCACCCCAGTGGTGAGGGGGTCAGTGAGCCCGCTGGGCACGCAGTGCTGCCCTAAACCACCCCAGGGCCTTTTGGACACAGAGCTCAGCAAAGAGCAGCCTGTGGCAAGACAACACAGACGGGCAGTTGGGGGTTCATATTCCCTAGTGCGGGCAGAGAGGAGGCATTGTGGGTACCAGTCCTCCAGCTCCCCAACAGAAGGAAAAACAAAGATGCTGGGCAGTCAGTCACCCAGTTGAAAGGTTACTTCAGGTCACCTACACCCCATGGCCCAGTCCCCAAACAACAAACTGACCACAGGTCACAAATCACCAGAGAACCAGCAATCCTGTCTCAAAGCTACAGAAGAGATGGCTGGGCCACCAGGCTCCCCAGGAGGGTCCTCCACCTGCCTGCACAGTCAGAGGAGACGGCTGGACCCACTCGGTTCCCCAGGTGGGTCCCCACCTATCTACACAGTCACTTCAGTGATAGCCTGGCCGACTCCGCATCTGCCTGGTAACTTATCTACTAGCAAAGCTCTCTATCTGCTTCTCTTGTGTTGGTGTGGAGCAGGCTCCAGGGTTCCAGGGTGATCCTTTTTTCCCTGTCTTTTCCGCTGGGGTAGCAGGTGTGAAAGGGAGCAGGGGACAGGAGCATCCCCAGTGACAATGTCCCCTCGCCCAGCGGCTGCCCAATTGGTGCCCCCGCCCCCACCAGGGTCAAGAAGGGCCCAGACAGGCGGCCAGGGCAGAGGCCAGGCCTGCACCGCCCAGTCCATCACGCAGAGGGCGGGCACAGAAGGCAGGCACAGGGTTTCACACAGGGTCTCGTGTACTCCCACTCCACACAGCACTATATTTAGATCCATGGGAATTACTAGACTTCCCAGGAATTCTTTCCCAAGGACTGAAGGTCAGGGGGGCAGACTTCCTCTGGGGACCCCCACCTCAGCTTGCCACAAACTTCCAGGACATTGTTCCCGGGAACAATGGTCCCAAGCCTTCCCAGCTCAAGGCTGCAGCCTGCACAGGGCCCGGGCCCCCCTGACACCCGGGTGGCTGGGTCTGCCAACTGAGACCCGTCCACAGGTCTAGCGATCTCGTTTCCAGATGGTTGGTGGGGCCGGCCCACCCTGGCACCCTGCAGACCCTGAGCCCCAGGTGTGCAACTTCCCCACATCTGGCTGGAGGCCCAGGTGCCCCAGGGTGCCAACACCCCAAGTCACAGCTCAGTGCGGCAGGCAGGGTAGGGCTGTCCTACCTCCAACCACCGGGAGGTCCCAGGCTGTCCTACCTCCAACCACCGGGAGGTCCCACCGGGAGGTCCCACCCTCCCCTTCTAAACACAGATGCGGCTCCAGCTGTGGAACATATGGGCTCCAGCAAGACTCGTGCCCAACCCCCCTCGGCCACTGCAGAACCCTTAGAAAGAGCTGGCGGGGTCGCACACACCCCGGTTACAACCGGGAAACTGAGGCTCGGAAAAGGAGGGCAGAGCGGCAGGGCTGGAGTGCCCACAGGCGCCGCTCGGAGCAGCGTTCACTCACCCGCAGGGGTGTCCCCGGCCCGCTGACCAGCTTCCACGCCTGCCGCTTGAGCTCTGCAAGCTTCGTGTGGCAGTGGCGACACCAGCCGCCTCCCCCAGTCGACTGGCCCAGTTCGGCGCTGGCCCCGGCGCCCTCGGGTGCAGGGCGGCGGGCACATGGGTCCTGATCAGGCCCGCTGGGCAGCCTCTTGACTGGGGGCACCTCCAGAAGCGGCAGCGGCTCGCGCGTCGGACCACCCTCGGCCACCTGGGAGGTGGGACAAAAGTGGAGAAGGGACAGTGAGTTCGGGCTGCCACCAGCGGCCCCGGCCAAAGTTGGGGCTCTGGGCCCCGATTCCCACCCCCTCTCCGCACCCCCGGTCCCGTCGCCGAGTTCGCCCGCAGCAGGAGGCCGGGCCTGCGCCCTCCCCACCCCGCGTCCCAGCGCACGTACCCCAGATCGCGCCGCGCACAGGGGAGCCCCGCGGCCGCCCATGGAACAGAGCTCCGGCCCCGCTACGTGCCGCGGCCCGGCGGCGCCCCCATGGCCCGGCCTGCAGAGTCGGCGTGGCCGGCCGCGGG